CCTCGATGCCCACGCTGTCTAGGATCTTCTTGATGTCCTTGGCGCTGGGGGAGGAGTTGCCCCCGAGGGCGGCCAGCAGGTAAGAGGCGACGTAGCGCATGCTAAGTGGGCAAAGGGAACGCGGCGACGGCGTTACTCCAAAGGCCTCCTGCCTACACCCTCCATTCTTAGCCGCCCGAGATGCCGCGTGCAGCCCGAGATCTCCGACCCAGGGAGGCCGCACATCCCAAGGCTCCCGGTCGCCCGCCCCCGCGGCGTCCACCCAGGCCTACGGCGACCCACGGCCCGACCGGCCACCCCACTCACGCTGCTGCGGTGGACAGGCCTCACGCGTGCGACCTCGGCGGCGGCGGGGAGTGAAAGGAAGACGCTGACGCAGGGGGCGGGGGTAAGCCGCTACCCAGAAGCCCCCGGGACGCACGCGGCGGCGTACGACTGCGCCTCCGAGTGACGTAACGGGCCTCAGTCGGCGACCAGGAGGAAGCCATCATCTCTTCTCCAATCAGGCGTTCGCTGCAGCAATGGCAAGGGGTGACTCCAGCGCCCGTTGCTTGTATGGCGTGGGCGAAAGTCCTCCGAAACCCACGACGCGGCACGGTTAGGACCTGAAGGGGCCTGCACGCCCCTGGAGTGCCTGCGTCCCCAGCATGCCGCGCGGCGCCACAGCTCCCAACATGCAGCGCGGCCACCCCGCTCGAGGCGGTTCTTTCCGGAAGAACTACAGGTCCCACGATGCCTCGTTGCCGGCGTTGGCGCTCCACCGGAAGTGCGCAGGCGCTGCTGTACTTCGCTGGTTGCACGTGGACCAGCTGGAGGCTGGGGTTCAAGGGTTGAGCTGTGGCTCTAGCGGTGGTTTCCTGGCACCAGAGGTTCGAAGTCTGGCAGGGACTACAGGGCCCCACGTCCAGCCGGTTGCTTGATGCGTAGTGACTGCGGCCATATATGGTTACAGCCTCACTATGGACCTGGGCCAGAAGAACCCAAGCCCTCCAAACAGCGGCATCAATGCCCCAAAAGCAGTTACCCACGCCTCCTCGGAGTGTTGAGACCTGAGTGACCATACTTGTCCCGCCAGACCTGCCCACGTGGTCGTTAGCACGTGTTCACGTTTAGGCGTCTGGGATTCTGAATGGCTCCTGCTGCTTTTATCGAGGACCTGGGTTCGATTCCCATTATTCACATCACATGGCGGTTTACTGTCCTAGCTCCAGTTTCGGGGGATCCGATGCCCTCTTCTGCCCTCCTCGGATGTTGCACGACACGGGTGCACTTCATGCATGCAGGCAATACATTCATACACATAAAAATAAAATAAGTTTTAAAAAAGAAACCTTAGCTTTGGCTTGGTCTACCCCAAACCAGTAGGTGACTTTGATGAGAAGGAGCCCTCTGCACATGCTAGAATGAGCCACACTTGGTGATGGTGTCATTACCCACATCTTCACAGGAATGCTGGGCACAGAAGGGTTTTCTTTACAGGACTTTGGGTGAGGCAGGGAAGGCATCTGGCAAAGTGCAACGTCAGCAGACAACAAAGGGAAAACATCCAATGGTCTAGGTTAGAAGGTGGTACCTTGTGATTTTGGTATTTATTTACATTTTGAGACAGTCTTATCGTGGAACTCTAGCTTGTGTGGAACTCACACAGATCACCTGGCTCTGCATGACTGGTTATATTGCAACTTCTAAAAAAATTTTTTTAAATATTATTATTTTTATGTGTATTCGTGTATTGCCTGCATGTCTGTAAGTGCATCCGTGTCGTGCGATGCCTGCAGAGGATAGAAGAGGCTGTTGGATCCCCTAGAACTGGAGTTTCGGACAGTTGTTAGCT